AATAAAGAGACAAGGGACAAGGAACAATGTCCAGCAGACTGTCAAATAAAAATATAGTTATGGATCTTTAGATCTGAAAGGAACCTCACAGATCATCTAGCCTAACCTCTTCTCAGAGACAGAAACTCAGGCTCGGAAAGGAGAAGTGACTTGCTTAAGTTCAGAACAAGCTAGTGGTGGTATGGAGATTAGAACCCATAAAGTTTTTGCCTACATCACACTTGTATCTGTAGGAACAGAAACTGGATATGTCGTACTGGGGATTCTGTTTGGGATTTGGATTGGCCACTGGGGTCCATTTCAACTCTGAAATTCAGTAATTCTGTGAGTTGTGAGTCTCTATAGGGAGGCGTCACGGTGGTCCCGGGCCCTTAGTGAGGGTGGGAAAAGGAAGGTGCTAGTGAGACAGAGAGGAAGACCCAAAGGTAACATTTTCCTGACTTCCCCAGGGTTAGCCCTGCCTGGGTGAATACCGGCTTGGGAGGCCAAGGTGCTGAAGGTACCCCAGAGCCCCAGCGAGTTGGAGCGGCCCTACAAGTGCCCAGCGTATGAGAAGCGCATCCGTCAGAAGAAGATCCTGAAGGCACACGCAAGCATCCACACCGGGGAGAGGCCGCATACCTCCAGCGAGTGTGGCCAATGCTTCCGAAAGAAGACCAAACTTCAGAAGCACCAGAGGTTGCATCGGGGAAGACCCCCTCACCAACGGCGCTTCAGCGACAAGCAGCCGCTGCACAAGCACCAGAAGACGCACGCCGGAGAGACGCCCTTCAGCTGCCCAGATTGTGGGGCCCGCTTCAGTCATAAGCACAACCTCAAGTCACACCGGCGACACACCTCAGCACTGAGCCAACTGCAGCAGGGGCTTCGAGCAGCAGAACCACCTAGTGAGCCCCCCGCGCATGAGGCGAGGCTTCCACACCCACAGTGCTCCAGGGCCATTGGGAAGCGGCCCAACCTGGAAAGGCACTTGGAGATCCTCGCTGGCGATAGGCCGCGCAGCTGCCGTGGGTGTGGCAAGACCTTCCAGGCAGAACAAGCACCTGGTGAGCCCCGGCCACCTCCTTCTGGTCTCTAAATCTGCACGGAATGCGGCAAGGCCTGTGGCCAGTGAGCCAGTTTGACCCATTATGAGCCGACAGACACTGTGGAGAACCACTCCACTTGTACTAATGTGGACAGAGGGAGTGGCAAGGCCCAGCCATTCAGAGGCAGGGAAAAGTCTGAGGGGTTCTAGAGTGCTGGGCAAGACGACTGAGACTCATCACATCAGAATGTTTTGGGAACAATCTTACAGGTTCATAAATTTAGAGCTGGAAAGGAACTTAAAGGACCTAGAGTCCAAATCTCTCATTTTACAGATGAAGAAACTGAGACTTAGAGGGAGTTAAGTGACTTTGCCCTGGATCAAGCAGCCTGAAAGTATATGAGGCAAAAACTGAACCTGAGTCTTCTTGATATGAATGCAGTACTCTGTCCACTGCACCTCCTAGCCCCCCCCCCCCCACCAAGCTGGGGGTGGGAAGGAGAACAACAGAACTAGGAGTCAGAAAACCTGGGTCCTTCCTGCTGCACTATTCTCTGGATCTATGACTTATTTTTGCTTAGAGCATTGTGACTGATGATGGGGACAATGAGTGGTCTCTCCAACTACTTCCCAGTCTTCTCTGACAGAGAAGCAAAGACAGGAAAAGACAAATTCTTTAAGAGATGATGTGGCGGCCTCAAGTGATTAATATATGAAGATGAGGCCCTACCATCAGGATGGTTCCCTTTTCTGTATTTGGTTTTGTTATCATTTTGATCCTTTTGAGGAAAATAGCATTTTTAAGCATGTGGTGTCATTGGTGTACATTTCTTCAAAATGCCCTAGCCCTTCTAGGCAGGTCTCAGTGTGTTTCTAGATGTCTTCAGGTGTTTAATGGTGATTAGTGTTAACTCTTCATTGAGACCCACCCCTAAAAAGCCAAACCTCCCTGGCTGGCCCTCCTGACTGAATTTCTGAATCTGATTCAATACTAAGGTCATAGTAATTAACACCTGTAGAAATGTTTCTGAGACGAGCCCACCTAACATCTTTCATCTCCCCACACCAGCTCAGAGCAGTTAGAAGCCTCTCCAGTTTCACAAGTCCAACTAAAGCCATGTCTCCCCTAGCAGCATCTTACAAAAACAAAGAATATGGGATTGGAGTTGGAGGCTCTGGTTTCAAATCCTAGGTCTACTAGTTACTAGCAGGGTAATCTTGGGCAAGGGGCATACTTCCTTCTTTGAGCCTTAATTGCCTTACCTGTAAAATGAGAATAATTGAACTAGATCAGTAGGATCAAACTCAATTAGAAATGGGGGGGCCTCTAAACTACATAAGGACCCCTGCAGGATGCATATTAACTTAGAAAACTACATATCAACATTATCTATGTTTTATTACATTTTTATTTATTTTGTCAAGTATTTCTCAATTACATTTTAGTCTGGTCCACTGCACTGGAGAATTCTGTGGGTCGGCCTGCTTGACCCCTTTGGACTAGATGAATGCTAAGGCCCCTTCCAGATCTAAATCTATGAGATTATGTGACCTATGTCTATGAGACCTAGTGGGTACCCCTAATAGTCTCCTTGCATTCAACACTGGTCTCTTCTACCCAAATGTCTCAAAGGATTAAAGGAAGGGGGATGAAAAGTCTTCTCTTCAGGAATCCGACCCTACCATGACATCATTAAATTTGACAGTCACTATATTCAGAATATTAAGAATCTGCTTTTCTACAATGTAAGCCATCATACGAAAAACATTGTTGTAGATACATAGGTTAGTTATAGACTCCAGCTTGACTCAGCTTAACATATAAATCTGGCTTCTTTTATTGCTGTTTTACCCCCACCAAAGACAATTTACCCTCAATGTTGAGAAAGCAAGGTTTTGTTTTGTTTCCCTCTTGATACACCCTGACCCCTTGCCCCCAATCTTGTTCTGGCTTTCTTTTCTCCCATGGCCAAAAATCTCTTTAATTATTTAAACTTATCTCCCCCTACCCCAGTCCAACTTGTGACCACATTCCCAGCCTCATCTCTTCCCCACCTCTTCTTGAATTCACTCAGCTTTTGAAGGTCTTTCCCCTCTCATCTTTTCTTCCATGCCTGTCTCCCTCTCCCTTTGCTCCCAGCTACGTGGACATGGCTATTATTGTGCTTTAAAGTCCATTGGGTGGTCCATTACCACTGCAAGTATTCACATTGACTTTTTTTTTTTATTGAGGCAGTTGGGGTTAAGTGACTTGCCCAGAGTCACACAGGTGGTGAGTTGTTTGTTTTTTTTTTAATGTGTCTGAGGCCAGATTTGAACACAGGTCCTCCTGACTCCAGAGCCAGTGCTCTATCTACTTCACCAGCTAGCTGCCCCCTCCCATTGACTCTTAACAAATAGAGTCTGCAAATGGCAGTAAGTCTGGTCAGCTGCCCTAGTCTAAAAGATGAAGTCTTTATTTAAAACTCTTATTACATCCTTCTACAGAAAGCAGAGACATACCTGCTTTCTATGATATGACTGAGAACATCTCAATGAAGACGAGTATTTAAGTTTTATCTAAGGTGCTAGGCCAATAAAATGGGGGAGGGAAGGGATGGGAGTAGGGAGAAGAGACAAAGATCATTTAGCTCAGATATGACCAAACTCATATCTCAGACCTAACTCTACCACTTAGGAATCTATTAACCCTGGACAAGAGACTATGAGACTATGATTATATCATGCCTTGTAGACCATTAAATTCTACATAAGTGAATTATTATTATTATTGTTGTTGTTGTTGTTATTGTTAAGATCTCCCAACACATCATCTTAGCGTCTCCCCCAGTAGTCCTGTCACAGTGTCAAAGAATTCCCATTAGAGATTTATTCTTTTGTGTTAGAGCTCATCTTAAATGAGATGATGTCCTCAGTCATGTCAATGAATATTAACAGGAAATGTCAATTGCCCTATTACTGCAATCACCATTTACTCTGACCTCTCTGGTCATACTTCCACTATATGTATTGTCTTCCCCATTAGAATGGAAGATCCTTGAGGGCAGAGAATTGCTTGCACTTAGCACAGTGTCTGGCCTATAATTAGCGCTTAACAAATACTTTTTCATTCATTCAATTATTCACACCTATATCTTCCATAGGAAGACAGAATCCTAGAGGAACTGCCAGGGCTTACTTCTTGTGCCTTTCCAGGAATCTGCTATTAAATAAATACTCTTTGTCCCTAAATATGTACAAATTCCTGCCTCTGCCCCCTTTGCTTTCATCATTTCTCTCTACCTGGAATGTCCGCAGGTCTCATCTCTGTATATCAAAAGTGAGCTCAAATTACTGCTTTCTCTATGAAGCCCTCCCTGATAGCCCCCAAAGTATCTCTCTACTTAAATTCCTACAGATTCTTATCAGTATCACTCTTGTGACACCTAACCCCATCTGTCTTTTTATTGTGGTTGATTGTGTTAGGAATCTTATCATCTCTATTAGATGGTGGGTGAATTAAGGGCAGGGACCTCATTTTTACTCTCATTTTTAATTATATTCCCTCTAAGTCTGAGCAAAAATAGTAATCAGTTTAATGGGTGTTTGCTAAATAAGAGAGAAAGGGAGAAAATTGCTTTTTCTTTTGCAGAAGCCAAAAGTAAATAGCTCAGTCTTTGGCTGAATGGTAGAATACAGGAGATGAACCATAAACCAAAGGGTCAGGACCTAAACGATGAGCCTGCACACTAGACAGCTGACGTCAGGCAGGGCCTGAAAGGAGCACACTAATCATGCACGTGAACTAAATATGGACCTGGCCAGGCAGAGTTGGGGAAGCAGGCAGGAAAAAAGGATCCTGCTCATATAGAAAGGATGAAACTCAGCAATTTGGTCTTTAACAGAGAAAAGTCCCTTCTTATTCCATGACAAAACAGTGAGCAACAGAAGTTAAGGAGAAGCAGATTTAGCTTCAATAGAAGGAAAAACTTACCAATGGTTAGCGCTGCCCCGGAGTGTAATGGACTTCCTCCAGTGGTCATATTGGAGACCTTCGAGCAGAGGCCGGATGACCAGTGGTCAAGGCTGTTGTAGCAAGAATTCTGGTTTGAGTCCAGGTTGGATTCTGTGACTTCTGAAGTCCCTTCCACCTCTTAAGATTCTTTAACTCTGTGAGGAGGTGAATCTATGACCCCATTATCAGCCATTAACACTTTTACAACAGGCCAGTGGAGGCCTGGATTCTGCTCCTCGTTCTGATTCTGCCAACAATTACCAATGTGACCTAGGAGAAACAGGTCACAGCTACTGCTACTGCTCCTATGTCTCCCTCTGCCTGGGAGCTTATAGCATTCCTTCTTTTTCCTTACTTGACAACTACCAGGGGACAGAGAATTCATCCAATCTTTTGGGTACACACTCAGTTCATACTTTACCAACCAAAGAGTTTTTTCAAGGACTAAGTGAGATAGTATATGTAAAGTATTTTGCAAACTTTAATACGCTATATAAATGCTAGTTGATGTTGTGGTTGTTGTTATTTATTAGAATAAGTCATTTTATCTCACTAGACCTCAGTGTCCTTATCTGAACAATGAGAGTGTTAGACCAGATAATCTCCAGAGGCTCTTCTAGCTCTAAAATTCTATGTGAGCCAATACAACACAGGCAGATTTTAAATCAGAAGATCTGGGTTTGAATTCAAGCCCAAGCCCAATTACTTACTAGCTATGTGACTTAGAACAAGTTACTTCATCTGTCTAGCCTTCATTTCTTCATCTGCAGAAAGGGGATAGACATACTTCCACTACCAAATCAACAGGGTTGTTGTGAGGTACATATTCCATAAACCTTGTTGTTATTCAATCATTTTTAAGTTCTGTCCAACTCTTTGTGACCCCATTTGGGGTTTTCTTGGCAAAGATACTGGAGCAGTTTGCCATTTCCTTCTCCAGGTCATTTTACAGATAAGAAAATTAAGGCAAACAGAATTAAGTAACTTGTCCAGGGTCACACAGGTAGTAAGTGTCTGAGGCAAGATTTGAATTCAGGAGGATGAATTTAATTCAGGAAGATGAGTCTTCCTGACTCCAGGCCCAGTGGGGCTGGGGGCAGCAGTGGATATTGGGACCTGTAATCAGGAAAACCTGAGTTCAGTTCAGCCTTAGACACTTACTAGCTGTGTGACCCAGGACAAATCACTTAACCCTGTTTGCCTCAGTTTCCTCATCTGTAAAATGATCTGAAGAAGGAAATACAGAGCTCCTTCACTCTATATTATCTAGTACATATATTCCTATGTAGAATCTATGTATTTCTCTGATTTCTGTTTTTCTACTAACTTGGATAAATGAGTTTATTTGCTATTTGCTATGAGTGTTCATTGTGGAAATAGCATCTGGTGGGGAGGGAGTTAAGCCTTAGATATATTGCTTGGAGTCCTCCATTCTCACCAAGGCATAGTCATCAGGAGTTTAGTTTAAACCTACCTATAAGCTACTTCCCCTAGATTAATAATATTTAAAGGAACAGATAGATATAATTCTAGTTTGGTACCCCCTCCCTCTTGTGAAAAATAGAGGGGTCAGCCTCTGATCCCTATCTCCTGCTTTCCTTATGGCAAAAATCAAAGTATTCCTTGGAGAAGGGTGGGAAGAAGAAATGCTAAAAATGTCTATTCTTGCCTCTCTGTGAGCCACCTCACAGACAAATCAGTATGTACATACATAATCTACATGGGCAAAAACAAAACACCACCCCCACAAATCAGACACAGAGAGAGAGAGAGCACGCCTGGAATAGGGTAACTGGAATAGAGGCATTCTAATGCTCAGCCTGCTCAAAGAGATTGAAATGTATCAAGTAGCCCAAAAGCTTGTGGCCCTGACTATGTCATTCTGTAAGAGCTATAACACTTCCTGAGAAGAAACAGATGGCAACAGTAACACTACAAGAGAGTGCCTGAGGATGTCTGGAAGAGAATGAGGTTCACAGCATCCAATAACAAACAGGAGGCAGAAAGAACAGAGAGCATGGAGAAATAGAACCCTACAAGAGGATTAGAATACCCTCAAGGTAAACTTCTGTGACTATCTAGGGAAGATATGGCAGAAGGCAGAAGGCCATAAGAAGGCAGAAAGAGAAAATGAGGATTGATTCAAGTAGAATTCATATACCGTAGAAGACCTGGGTCTGAATCAATCTTGAGATTCAGTGAGATCTTAGTCAAGTCACTTGACTTCTCTAGGACTCAATTTCCTAATCAGTCCAATTATAGACAAGATGGTGATTCCCACCAGATTCTGTGGCCATGAACTCTATCACTGAGTGGAGAGTAAAGAGGTCTGTCCTGGCCATAATATCTAATGGATTCTGAGAGTTTTTCAATTAAACCATGGCACCATCTTACCTTACCCTAAACCTCATTTGGTGTTTTCTCTGACTTAAGAACTGCCTGATATGTCCTGAGATTGTTTTAGGGGATATGAAGTTTTTGCTTCAGGGGCAGAAGACAAACTATTTCCCCAACGTAGTCATTAGGCTGCCAAACAAAGCTTGGCTCCAGAGGAACTGAGGTCATGTTCTCAGCCTGGTAGCAGGTAACCTGCTGAATCACAAGATTTGCACAGTCCAGGTGTATGCTTCACACGTTCATCATTTCCAGGGGAAAACCAAGAGGCCAAGGGTCAAATCTAATGCTCACAGCTTGTATATCTGCAGGACAAGGCATGATAACTTCTAGTTGCCCCACAAATTGGAATTAACTCAAGCCTCAGGGATCCTTTTTTTTGACATGTTTGCTTTCTGAATTTGCATAGTGTTATCTATGAAAAGCACTTTCTCAATTACTTTATTAGATCCTGACAACACCTTCTTGAATAAAATGGAACAAAGATTTTTTTTTTCCCAGACATGATTTCTTTGGTATAAGTAACTTCAGGTAAGGAACCTCTGCTTCCCAATTCATATCTGCATCTGTTCTGCAATTTATCGTTTTTGAGTTGCCTAGAGGCACTGGGAGGTTAATTGACTTTCCCAGAGTCACATAGCCAGTACATCTCAGAGGCATGATTTGAACTCAGAGCTTCCAGCCTCCAAGAGAGACCCTTTATCCATTATGCTAGGCTGGTCTATTAGCTCTTTTGCAGAGGAGAAAACAGGGCCAAGGAGATGGTAACTCAGTCCCACAGCAAGCTAGTTACAGCCAATCAATCAAAAGACATATATTAATTACCTACTATATGTTGGACATTATGCACTTGGAATAGAGGGACAAAATCAAAACAGTGCATATCCTCAAGAAACTTAAATTTCAAGTACTGGGACTAGCCTGGGCCTCTTGAGTCTTTCTCTAATCTCCATCCACTTTATCACATGGCCAGTCTATTAGCTTTGCCTCAGTCCCCAGGTAAGGCAGGGTAGCTTCTGTTTCTCTGTATATAAAATGGCACTAGTGTATCCAGTTTATAGATTATTTAGGCCACTTTTTGCTTCTTTTCCTCCTCTCCTTCCTTCCCCTCTTTAACAGGGTAGTACCACTACACACACACACTTCCTCAACTTCCCTTGGGTAATGGAAATACATGATTTCACCCATGTCAGTACTCTCTATGCTGATGCTGATGTCAACCCTTCCAGGCCCCAATAAATAGTTTTATGAATTATTGTGTACAAAAAAGGTCATCACCTAGTGGTTAACCTTTGGATAATGAGCCTCTGAATTTCCCTAGGTTGTTCCTCAAATTGCATACATGCAATCTGTCCAACCTCAAGTCTATATACTTAAATTATTTTCTGATGCTTAATCCCCCTGGTAGCTTTTGGTGCTTTAAGGTAGCCAGGACCTTCCTTCCCATTATGAGAAGACTACAGTGGAAGAAGGAAAAATAAGAGATAACCAAACTTTAATGTGACATCACCTCTTCCCCACAGTTATTCCCCCAACCCATACTTACATTGACAGGTTGGATCCCCAGAGTGGTGCTGCTACTCTCAAGTTCTAGGCATCATAGGATCATAAGAGTAGAGCTGGAAAGGACTCCAATATCCTCATTTTACAGATGAGGAAATTGAGGCTCAAAAAACTTAAAAGGCAGATGTGATAGGACCAGCATTTCCCTAATATTGCTTCCTTCTTCCTACCCACAACATGAGGCATAGCACCTGATTGGCCCCAGACATCAAAGGGCATAAAACTTCATGTGACTGGGAAGTCTAGGCAACTCTGACTTGGTGAATGTCTGTAGACTACATGAGTCATCAAGTCCTTCACCACATCCTGCCCTGATGGCCAGGTACATTTCATATAGAGATGAGGGGAACTGTGTCCAGAGAAGCTAAGTGTTGTCTCATATTCTCACTGTGTTAGGGCAAAGTAAATCTCCTCTTTGTGAAAAGTTCAATGCCTCACTTCAGCCCAACATCAAACCTGAACTTAAAGAACACTAGTGTTGGAGCCATGGTACTGACAAGATTTGAAACCAGGTCTTCCTGATTCCAAGTCTAGTACTCTATATACTTCTACTACACACTGCTTCCCCATGGTTCCATTGGTGAATACTCTTAACAGCTCATGAGTCCCCACCAGCATGTTTCCCAATAACAATCAGTCAGTAGTCTTAATTAGCTTTTAGCAAAGGCATTTACTAAGATGGTCCAGTAAGAATAGTTGGTATAACACTCTTCCCAAAGGCCTGGGTTGTACTCTCCTGCAAATATACACACAGCATTCATGAGAAGAGTCAATTCAAATAGTGTTCAGTGGTAGTGAAGTACTCATATATAATACATACATGGCAAAGGGTAATTCACAATTCCTGGTACTTTGGGACCTGGATTTCTTTCTCTTTTGATAGAACCCTTGAGCAGGTCACTCCACTGGTAGCTAGACTGGGCTGGCTGCTCACAGGACAAAGTCTCTACTGGACAGGTCAATTCACTGGACTCCCTGGCCTGGCTCCTTAGTAGATAGCTGGCATTTCTACCATCTCTAGCTTCAGCCACAGCTATAATCCTTAGCTGAGGGGTTGCCCTTGCCTCAGGGCCAGAGGATGAGTAGAAAACAAGATGGATGGACTTTGTCTAATGGAAAGAGCCTAAGCCTCTTAGAAGTCAGATAACCTAAGTTCAAATCCAAAAAGCCTCAGTTCCCTCAGGAAAAAAGGCAGCTCCAACCATACCAAGAAGCACTTTTCTTTGGGTCATTTTTCTTAGGAAACTCTTCTCTCTCTCTCTCTCTCTCTCTCTCTCTCTCTCTCTCTCTCTCTCTCTCTCTCTCTCTCTCTCTCTCTCTCTCTCTCTCTCTTCTCTCTCTCTATCTCTGTCTCTCTGTCTCTGTCTCTCTCTCTCTCCCCTTCCTTCCTTCCTCCTCCTCCTCCTCCTTCTTCTTCTCTCTACTGTATCTCTCTCACTTTCTTGAGTATGATCAGAATTCATATACATTCTGCACTGTAATAAAAGGATTATATTCTCTCTTATTAGATCCTTTCCCCACCCCAGGAAAAAAGACATATCCTGTCCTCTCTTTTAAGGAACAGGTCCCCCTTTCTCACTCCCCAGCTAAACATATTCAATAACTAAACCACCCTGGGCCAATGATCATTAAATGTTTTTATAACAATTTCACATAGCATGAAGGATAAAAGTTAGCAACCAGGGGGACCAACTGTCTAAAAAACAGATGCATGGAGCAACAACCCATAAGGAACAAAATTGTCTTTTCTCTCCTCTTATCACCCCCCTCCCTTAACAATAGTTGAGAAGGGCAACAGGGATTAGTTTAGATTGGTAAATGGAGAGCAGCCTACCTAACCAGCAAGAGAGAGTAGTTTAAAAAAAAGTGTCAGGGACCAAGTATGCCCATCTCAACTAACCCCTCCATGATTTCTTGGTTCCATTCATAACCAATCTAATCTGGTCTGGTCTCTCTCTCTCTCTCTCCGGTCACTCTACTCTCATCCATGCCTCAGGCTCCATAACCTCCACTCAAATCTGTCTGCTGGTTGATGGCCAACATCCATTATGAAACTCCTTGATCAGACCATCCCAGAAGTCCCAACCAAGGTTTCATTCATATCTCCAGTCTCTTCAACATGGTTGCCCTCCTTCTCAGAAGTACATCAGGCTCAAAATCACAGGCACTTCAGGAACTCTGGGTAATGTCTGTCTGCCTACAGACAAGCCCTTTCAGTACCTCAAGTTTCCAAGGTAACACCTCTGGGTAATATCAAAGCCAGAGTTACATTCATAAACATTCATAATAATCCCTGATCTCTCTAAGTCCCAAGAGTGTTATAACATTCCAAGGTGCCAAAGCATTTTGAAAAGGAAAAAGAGCTATTCAAATAGGAAGTTTTATTGCAATGATCACTTTGACTATGATTGTAAATTGATACAAGCCATATCTACTAGAACTAATATCCCCTTAGGAGAGAATAGACTAAGCTCCCATATCTAGGAACAAAAAATATTTTTGGTTAAATGAATGAATGAATGCCCTAGTCCTATGGCATATATACATCTTGAATATCCTCACATTAATGGCAGTATTTTCCCTAAATAGTACCACCTCTTCAACCCTCATCCCATACCTCTCATATGTCTATATTATAACATGAATATAAGTGTGTGTGTGTGTGTGTGTGTGTGTGTGTGTGGAGAAAGAGAGAGAAAGAGAGAGAGAAAGAGAGAGAGAAAGAGTTTCCCTATCTCTTGTAGGCTGTAAGTACAAAGGCCACCCAACCCCACTGCTGATCTACATAGAATTTTTGACCTTCTCCATTTTGGACCTGGGAGCTTCCTTAGGTGCTCCCCATATTGGCATTAGACTTACACCTGATAAGCTTTAGCCCTAATGCAGCTTAGAATTTTAGAACTCAATTGATCCACCAGCCTCAGTCTCCCATGGTAACAGGAATTACAGGCTTGTGGCACCATACCCAGCAACAAATAATTCCTAATCCAGTGGCAAAGCAGTGGTAATTCAGAGTAGAATCTTTATTACCCATCCCAGTGGGCAGTGGGACCAGGCTGCCTGGAGTTGGGAATGGGAAAAGGGAAGGCCCACAGTGCCAAAGGTTTTATGATTCAGAGTTAGTGGAATATTAGAGATATCTAGAAACTGAAGCCCAGGGAGGTGAAATTACTTCCACAAAGTCACGTGGGGAATAAGTGGTATAACCAAATTAAGTGGAGAAAGGAAAAAACAGAAGAAAGATGAGCTATTATAAATGGAGGGGGAAAAAAGTATATAGTAATCCTTCATTTGTGCAATTTCCAAACACACTGAAAAATACATTCTAGGAAATTTAAGTGAAAAATTATACTGACTTGAATTTCCATCTTTCAGCACTCCTCCCCCCACCCCCAACACCATAGAATGACATGTTTCCCACTCAGGAGTTCAATAACCCTGAGCCTCAGGTCTCAGACCTCTTTGTTCCCAAATGGTCTCATCTGCTGTTAAATGAGATGATGATGAAGGGAACAGTAATCCTGGCCAAAGCAGCTATGCTTAACAAGATGGGATGTCCTAGGGCTTGGCACACCCTCCAAGAAATTCCAGGGGACAGCAGGCACTAGATAGCCCACATACACCTGCAAGATCCAACCCTCCCTTTCTCTTGGACCTCTCACCACCATCATGGAACTACTCTCTCACCTCTCCCTAGGGTCAGGGGTTGGAAAGCAGAGCACAGCAGATGTGAATTCAGTGAATTGTCTGTGTACAGTCTTATTACAGAGGGTGTTCTGGGTTAAGGAAGAAACAATGGTTGGAACACAAAACCTGGCTTAGGTGAGCACCTTGCCCCTCAGTTCCACGGCCATGGTCAAATGCTTAGTCTCGAGACAGCCCTCATGGGCAAAGCTCCAGCCACAGCAAGGACAGAAGTGACATCATTGCTCCCCAGAAACCGCGGAACATTGGGGTCGGGTAGGGGACATCCTGGCATGAGTACGCTGATGGTTAAGGAGGAAGCGGGCCTCTCGGAAACAGCGCCTGCACTGGGCACACTGGTAAGGCTTCTTGCCACTGTGGATGCGTCGGTGAGTGAGCAGATTCTGTTTGAGGCTGAATCGCCGTCCACACTCAGGGCATGGGAACGGACGCTCACCTGTGTGGGTGCGCTGGTGGACAGAGAGGTTGTGCTGGATGCTGAAGGCCTTGCCACACTCAGGGCAGACATACAAAGCCCGCCCTGCTCCATTCATTCCAGCATGGGCCTTATGGTGCCGAACCAGACTAGACTGCTGAGGGAAGGTCTGGCCACACAAGAGGCATCGGTATGTCTGTTCCTCTGCCGGATGATGGATAATGAGGCCTTGCTCGTCACTGGGACTGTCCTCCTCATCTGCCTCAAGAGGCTCTCCTCCTGGTGGGGACAGGTCCGACATGGGCACTTCCAACAGCACGGAAGTTCCATTCATTAAGTCACCAACCTCTGGGGAGACAGACACAGAGAGAAAGGGCACAGGTAAATGGAGTGGTTCTGACACAGGTCCGTGATAACCCCCTTCCCCAGCTGGAGGCAATATGGGAAGGAACTACATGGTGGAAAGAACACTGAATTTGGAATCGAAGGATCCCGGTTGGACTGATGGCTTGCCTCATTCAGGCAAGTCACTCAATGGCCCTAAGCCTCAGGTGTCTCATTTATAAAATGGGGGAATTCGACTAGAAGAAGTCTCTAAATCTTTTAATCCTACTTTCTTGTGCTAGAGAAGTGTGGCAGCCTCTCAGCCGTTTATCTGCAACCAGCCTCACTTCCCATTCTTTCCCACTGCAATCAGGATGATGGGTCTATAGCCAGAAGGGAATTCAGAGGTAATCTTGTCCAACCCTCTAACTTGACAGATAAGTAAACCGAGGTCCTGACTTGCCCAAAGTCACACAGCTAGTAAGTGTTAGAGGAAAGATTTAAACCCATGGGAGTCCTCTGACTCCCAAGTCAGCCTTCTTTCCACTGGAGTCAACCCTGATTCCAGCCAAACTAGTTTACCCCCAGTAGAATAAGCCTTGCCATTTGCCCCAGCTAAAGTCAAATTATAACCTCTCCAGATCCCACCCATTATTCCAGGCCCATCTCATCTGGTTCCTCTTCCTCCTC